CTCTTGAATATGAGCACACTTCCCAGCTTGTAATGGATGTGAACTTTGTTTAAATTGGATGTGAAGTTGTATAGACTCGTATTTTCCTTGTCAGCGTATTTGCTCTTATCCTATTTTCAATGAGGAAAGCTGCAGCATGGTTTGTATTTGCTGGAGGACCACAATCTGTGGAGGGGTTTTGTGATTTTCTTGTGCAGCTCTGCTAAAAGTGCTGCACAAGCAGTTTCCTTTTGGTCTTAAAAAAGCCTTATAGCATTTTAATGAAAAATTTACCCTGACAGCTAGAGACAAATTTCTCCTTCTCTCACCTTCGCTCAGGAAAGTCTAAGGGGCTAAAGATTTATGGTTCCTCAGTTATACAGATTCAGTCCTGCATTCGCTGCTGTCTAGGATGTGGTCCAAAAAAACAGACCAATGTATGTGGTCTCCCCTGCTACAGGCTAAGCTAGAGTTGAGACTTTGTTACCCCTGTCAGTTATGGCAGAATTTAAAGCTTTAAAATAAAAGTAATAATTTAAAAATTGCCTTTTTTATTTATTTATTTTTTAAATGAATGGCCCTAAATAGAGTTTTTACAGTTGCTTCCTAAACATTTGCAAGTCAAGTGTAACTTTCTGAGTTTGAATGCAGCTTGGAAAAATAACTCTAAGCTTTCCTGGTGTCTTTACCTGGAGATCAATTTGGCAGCTTAACAATGACTATGAATGTGACACATTTTGCAAATCAGAATTTAGATGACGGGTGCAGCCAAAAAAGGCAACTTTGTCCTGTACTCCACAAATGCACCCACCTGGTCAGAGCTGGATGGGCCGTACCCACTCCCTACCTACCCATTCCTGTCCCCCTCCCTTTTCAAAAGCCTAGAGAAGCAGATTAATTGTGATAATCTGAATTATTCCTATGTGCACGGGTGTATCTCACCAGGGAACCTCTGCTCTTGCTGCTGGGATTCGCACAAGGCTCTCCTTGATGGGGACTGGTGTGAGGCTGGAAGTGGTACAAAACTTCTTCCAAAGTAAATGCAAAGATACTAATGGCACTTATGGAGCAAGTTCCATTCATGTATGTACCATCATGTTTCAAATATGTTTTAAACCAAAAACTTATGTAAACAGAAATAAAAGTTAAGATAGAAACAAGTTCTAATGCTCTGAAGTTTGGTTCTTAAACTCATCACCAACTTTTCTGTTTTGCTCTTTACATACAGGGTTTTCCATGTACTCCAGAAAAGGTAGATAATAAAACTTATCATGACTTTAAAAAATGTTCCACAGCTGCTAACCATAAATGCCTGTGTGTACACAGAGTCATACGAGCCACCAGGGTGAAATAATGGTGCCTGTCACTGGGTTAAATATAGCGTTGCATATTTGAGGGTCCAGGTAGAATCTGGACCAAGAATGCAGATGATGCGAAAAAGGAATTTACACATTTCAATGCTTTTTTTGTCCTGGGAGCTGGAGTTTGCCCAGGATGTGAATCCCTGGGGACTTGCTGAGGTTTGAGTTCACTAAGGATTTGTGAGCAGAACTCAATGTAGCGTCTGTGCTCTCAAACATACATTTCATGTTCGTTAATAAATGTGCTTCCAGGAGGCTCCATCCAAACAGCCAGCAGAGACAATGACTATGAGTTTGGGTTTTAGGCAGGTTTGGTGGGGTGTTTTGGGTTGGTTTTTTTTAAAAAAAAGAAGCAGCATGGAAAAAAATAAAGATCTGCTTAAAGCCCTCTTTATCGACCTCGCCAGAGGAGTCCCCAGCCTGTGCCCCCCACTTCCATGCAAGCAGCTCACCCCCGCCCCGTCCAGTCCCGTCCCGTCCCGCTGTCCGGACGCGGTTCCCGGCTGCCGCCCGCCCGCCCGCTCGCCCTCACCTGCCGCTCGTTGACTTTCC